TAATAATTCTCACCTGAAGATAGGCAAATTCTGCCTGCTACAAGTTCTCTTGCCTTCTTTTCCTGCCTCCCAGAAGAAGCCCAACCTGCTCCTTCTTCAAATACTTGTCTGTACTCCAGATCTAAGTCTGTTCTTCGGGCTGGCAGAGAATTTCACACAATTCCTCATCAATCATGAGTGAAATGAAACTGCTTACCATGCTCATCTTATTTGTTTAGATTTCATTTTATACTTATTTATTTATTGCAATAGTGGGACCTGAACCTGTCCCCTGGGAGCCAGGTATTGATGCTGTGATGAATCCTCACTCCTTTGGTCTTCAGTTCTTTGTGCCCTTGACAGATGAATTCAGTCAAGATACCTAGGCTAGGGGAGATGGCTCAGTAGAATAAACACTTGTCTGGCAAGTGGAAGTGGAAGGGCCTGGGTTCAATCCCTGATTCCATCAAAAGAAAAAAAAAAAGATACCTAGGCTCTGCAGAAGTCATTGTAAGGTAGATAGAGAGTTGCACCTTCAAGTTATAAAGCAAATTGTACTTCAAAGTCATCTGCACAGACTGTGTGTTTGGGTACATTTGTGTGTGTGTGTGTGTGTGTGTGTGTGAGAGAGAGAGAGAGAGAGAGAGAGAGAGAGAGAGAGAGAGAGAGATCTCACATCTCACTCACTGTGTAGCCCAGGCTGGCCTCAAACTTGTGGAAATCCTCCTGCCTTAGCCTCCTGAATACTAGGATTACAATCCCACTGGGCAAGTCTAAATACATTTTTATCCCAACCCAAAGTTACTCTTAGGATCCAGGGAACTGGAGAGATTATGATGCTTATCATCATTTTACTTAGAAGTTACTTCAGTTACAAAATATGTGCCTATCCTTCTTAGACATTGTTTCCTTGAGGGCTCTAATCAGGAACTTACAAAGATAAAGTCTTAATTTAAACCAGACCCCAGCCCAAGAGGGCCTTTAAAGACTGTTTCTCTTCTTAATATCATCAGGCTGTAGTCTGTGGCTCTGGAGTTGGATGGCCAAGGTGACCAGAAATTAGAAGGAACATGCAGAACGCACAGCCTTAGATGCCACTGTACTCTGCGGAACTGATTCAGGTCTGAAACCAAACTAGTGATTATAGTTTGGCCTGCCTACCAAACCCAGGGCTTTTGCATAGAGCTACATCCCCAGCCCTTTTCTATTCAGAGACAGCGTCTCACTGAGTTATTAAGTGGCCCATGCTGGGCTCAAACCTACCATCCATCCTGATCTTCCTGCCTCAGTCTTGCTGAGTGCTGGGATTACAGGCACGGCCACCCTGGCCTGGTAACACCTTTACCTTGTATCTTTAGGAGCCCAGTGAGAATGGGGCATTTACCATCGTGGTTAGGTCTTTTCCCAGGACAGCAAGTTTCTGTGAAAGTAGACACCAAGCCTGAGAGGAGCTGGCATCCGTTTCTGGCCCATGGAGAAGTGCTTCCACGCCCGAGGACCCGGGCTCGGACGCTGTGCTGTCCTGTGGTGGACACCGAGGAAGGAGGGAAAGAGGGAAGGAGGGAAGGAGGGAAGGAGGGAAGGAGGGAAGGAGGGAAGGAGGGAAGGAAGGAAGGAAGGAAGGAAGGAAGGAAGGAAGGAAGGAAGGAAGGAGCTGCTCTCCGAGCTCAGCGCTCTCCCACGAGTCCAGACCCTGGAGCGCCCGGCTGGCACCGCCGTCCTGGATAAGCCTTGGGGTCCCGGGCTGGGTGCCGGCCGCAGGGGCCTGCGGGGCCTCTGGAAGGGGCGGGCTCGCTGCAGCCAGGAAGCCCGGAGCCGCCCAGGAATCTTGGCTCGGCCCGCTCTGTTTCCTCCCCGCCCGGCGCGGTCCGGGACAGACGCCCGCTCGCCCTGCACCATGCGCCCGCTGCTCTGCGCGCTGGCCGGGCTCGCTCTGCTCCGCGCCGGTGAGTGCGCTGCGAAGGCGGGAGCCCAGGGAGGAGTGGGAGCGGGAGAGAGCGAGGGAGAGGGCTGAGAGATGGGTTCAGGGACGCGGAGAGAGACGCGGGAAGGGAGGGTGGAGGAAAACCAAGGCAGGGAAAGAGGAAAAATCATCAGAGAAGAGAGAAAGGGAAGCAAACACAGAGAAGGAGAAGCTGAAGGAGAAAGAGGCGTGGGGGTAAAGGGAGCCGAAGGAGGGTAAGAAGAAGGAGTGGAGAGCGGCTGACTGCACTCTAGGAGCGCCCTGCTCCCGCCCTCTAGGAGACTGAGGCAAGAGGCTCATCAATTCAGGCCCATCCTGGGGCAATTCAGAGACTTAGAGAGATCCTGGCTCAAAATTTAAAAACATTTAAACATCCAAAGGGCTGAGGATGAAGCTCAGTGCGAGGACCCTGGGTTCAATAGCGTGCTGCAAACTAAGTCAGCAGGTAAGAGTTGAGAAAATAAAACTGCAATGGTGCAGAGTGGGGGCAGCTGGGGCAAAGTGCAAGGCTCAAGGGGAAAGAGGGCGGTGAGGGCCCTGGTGACAGAGGAGGGGCTCGGAAGCCCTTGGGGGCCAGCGCCAGCCCGGGTGGCAGCAGAGGGCAGCACAACCTTTTCCCAGCCAGACGCGGGCCTCAGGAGAAAGACCACCGCTTCTCTGCCAGGGGGCAGAAAGCATTCTGCGATGGGACAGGAGGTGGGCTCGGCCCAGAGAGCCCCGTGATGCCCGCTGCTGGGGCTGAGCTGGGGACCTCAGGAGGGCAAGGCCATCGGGGTCTTGGGACAGCTGGACTCCGTGCCCTGCGCCACCCCCTTTGCCATCCTATCTGGCCTGAAGTCCCGGGGGCCGATCTTTCCCAGGGATGAGAAAGAGAGGAGGCCTCACCTGGCTTCGTATAGCCCAGGGCAGTACTCACGGATGGACAGTCCACTGCCTGCCTCGGGGCATGTGCTTTACACTGTGCAAGCCACATCCTGTAGAACCAGAGTGTGGTTCAGATGAGTGGGGAACTCATACCTCACCAGGGGTCGCAGGTCTTGTCCCCACATAGGTGGAAGCGCCCTTAGCTCAGAAGGAAGCCCCTGTCCCCTTCCGGGCCAGTAATGGGAGGGACTGAGCCTCCACCCTCACCCACCATCCCGGGGCACCCCTCCCTTAGCGAAGCCCCACTATGTCCCGGGACTGTGTCCTCCTCTGTAAACTGGAGAGAAGGGATCACGCCCCCAAGAGCTGGCTGCAGCGACTACATGAGGGAAGAAATGGGCTTCTCTCCATTCCGCAGGTCCCTGCAGCCACAGTGTCTCCACCTATTAAGGACAATCCCCTGCTTCTCCCCTCCCACTCCTCGGTCCTCCTCTCCTTCCAGCTCTCAAGCTCCAGAGCCCGTGCCCCACAGGGACGTGTGCACGACACATCTCATCTCTGTCTTCTTCTCCCCTTCCTCCCCCTCCTTTCCAGTCTTGGCCTCCATCCCATCTGCAAACCAGCTCTGTCCCTGTTTCCTATTATCTTTCTTTAATTTTGCTCTTCAATTTACTTACACTTTGGATTTCTCACATAAGAGAAAGCACGCAATACTTGAGCTTTATTTCTGGGTTCCCTCTCCTGACGTAGTGGTCCCCAGGCCTGTCCATCTTCCTGCAAAGGATTCACATTTCTCCTTCATGGCAGAGCAGTAGGTCACTGTGTTGTGAGCACCACACTGTCTTCACCATTCATCTGTTGGGGAACACAGACTGCCCCCAAGATTAGCTATTGAGGTGTGTCATGCTAGCTATAAAAATGGATGCAATGTGGTGTCATTCACCCTATCTAGAAAATACCTACCAGGACAAGTAGTGTTTTCCCTTCTAAAATATATTTTTTCATCTTTATTTGACACACAGTAGTTGTACATATTTATGGAATATAATTTTCCTTACTCTGGATTAGGAAAAGATTAAGATACAAAATAATAATATGTAAAAGTAGTTCATTCCCAGTTGCATTTCATCTACAACCCCATCTCTCCTCTCCTCCCTGGATTATTTTAAAGGAAATGCCAGGCAGCACCATATACTTTACCTATAAATAATTATGGTGCATGTCTAAGAGATAAGTACCCTTAATAAGTATAGCTGCAAGGGCTGGCTTGACAACTCAGTGGACTAAAGTGCCTGCTTAGGCAGAGCGCAGGAGCTGGGGGTCGATCCCTGGAGTGCTGTGCCGGCCCCACCTGCGGGGCATGCTGAGACATGATTGAGACTGGGCACGGTGGCACACACCTGTGTCCCAGCACTTGAAAGGCTGAAAGCAGGAGAATCACTAGGAGTCTGATCTACGTAGTGAGACCCTGTAGACCCTGTAGACCCTGTAGACCCTGTACGCCCTGTAGGCCCTGTAGACCCTGTAGACCCTGTAGACCCTGTAGACCCTGTCCTAAATAAAGAAAAAAGAAAGGAAGGAAGCTGCAATACAATTACCACATCCAGAAGTTAAGAAGAACTCCTTACCTTCAAATATTCAATCGCTGTTTAAATGTCCTGGGGAAAGTCATGTTTTTACACATCATTTCGTTTGTTCCAAAGAAAGCTGCCTATAGGGGGCTGTGGAGATGGCTCAGAGGAGTAAGCACTTCCCTGGCAAGCGCAAGGCCCTGAGTTCAATCCCCAGTTGGGGGGGGGGGGGACAAAGAAAGCTGCCTACATTGCATTTGTTAATCTCTCTTTGAAATGCATCAGTTCTCCCCCACTTCCATCTTTCTTCCTAAAGTTCATTTGTTGGAGAAGCTGAGTGTGTCCTGAGAGGACTTTCACCTTCTGTTTTGTGCTTCCTGCCCACCCCACCCCCACCATCTCTCAGCTGCTCATTTCCCCTTCATGTTTCCTGTAAACTGATGGTGACATCTAGAAACCGGATCTGTTCCCAGTTAGGCTTTTCTTTGCAAGGGTACTTCATACACCTTATTATTTTAGTTTGCCTTTACTTTCCTTTTTTTTTTTTTTTTTTTAATGTATTTAGTACAGGATCTCATTGCACAGCTCAGATTTACAGTGATCCTCCTGTTTTCAACCTCCCCACCGCTGGGATTACAGGCGTATATCACCACGCCTGGTCTCAGTGGCCAGCTCAGTGCACCCCAGGGGCGGGATGGTGCAGCATGTGGTGCAGGGATCAAACCAGGGTTCCTGCACTTGCCTAAGCAGGTGCTTAGTCCACTGAGCTAGCTCACCAGCCCTGCATTTCTTTTATTGATGCAGAAGTTAGACTGTTTCTTAAAAGGTATTTTGGTCATTTCTATAGATGCTTGTAGAGTGTTTTAGACTTTCTCAATTGCTGCTGGCCTGATCAATCCTCCTGCCTCAGCCTCCCAAGGTTAGGACTACAGGTGTGTGCCACCCCACCTCACCAGAGTGTTTTAGTATTCAATAAGTCCCTGATCTAAGTACAGTGGAGAGGTGAACTTTCACAGATGCAAACCAGCTTTGCATTACAAACATTCGTCGATGTGAACACACCACAGAAGGGGCTCCCGTGCCTGCTGGCCTTTGCCACAGTCACGCTGCTGTGTGCTTCCTGTGCGGTGCAACACTGTACACGGTTTGATGCTCAATCAGAGTCCAGGAGGGCCGGAAGCGAGAGGAAAAGCAGTGGCGATGTGGGGAGGACTGCTAGGAAGCAGCAAGCAATCCACATGATGTGCTTATATCTAAGGTATATAAGACTCTTTGTCCCACTTGGAAACGAATCTCCCTTACAAACATTCTCCCAGAGGGCAACTTGTTTGTAAGTTGAGGACTTACCACAGTATCACAATCCAGTGGTTTGAGAGCACATGATGCAAAAAGAGAAAGATCCTTCTTCCCGTCTAGACTCCAGCGGAGCCGTCCGCCAGTGCGGCCCGCAGCCAGTTTGGCTCTGTACTTACCCACAGGAGAGGAACAGACCGGGTGTCACTAACAGGGGCTCTTTGTCATGGCAGCTTAACTCATATCCTGTGTAAAATACAAACTTAACCGGAAACAGAACTGGTAAGCTCCTAGTGACTCACTCAGCTCAAGTCCAGATCCAGAAACTTATGCAAGAAGGAGGTGGCATAGGACACCTCCCTCCCTGAACAAAACAAAGCAAAGAACATCCCTTGGAATGTGACTTTATTCCAGAGCCCCAGGCCCCTCTGCTGGCCCAGCCTGGGCAGCTTTACTCATTAGATTTCCTCATACACTCATTTCCAAAGTGTTCTTCTGCCTTTTTGAAAACTCGGAAACCACTGATGGTTTTGGATGAATCACAAATATTTATACAAGTTTTGGATGTGGCGAAATTTATTATTCTATTACATTGAATGTGGTCAAATATAATTAACTCCCAAGTGGCCGGTACTGCCGGCAAACGCAGAATAGGGCTTTGTGATTTAGGGGTGGAAACAGCACCTTTTAAAATTGCAACAAGATGCTGTAAGTAGTAGGCACATCTCAAAGGACAAAACCTATGGGCCACATCTGTGGGGGGAGGTGTGCATGTGTGTGTGTGTGTGTGTGTGTGTGCGTCCGCGCACATGTGTGGTACTGGGGACTGAGCCCAGGGTCTTCACACTGAGCTATACCCCCAGCAGTTTTTAATTTTTAGTCTGAGATGAAACCTCACTAAGTTGCCCCAGCTGAGCTTGAACTTGCATCTTCCAGCCTCTACCTCCCAGATATAGGCATGAATGGCCACAACCAACTCCATATCTTTTTGCTATTCTACTTTGCATAAACTCCAGGCTCCGCACACTGAGCTACGACCCAAGCCCTTTCCATTTTATTTTGAGGCAGGGTCTCACTAAGTTGCCCAGGCTGGACTGGAACTTGCTATCCTCCTGCATCAGCCTCCCAAATAGTTCTCCACTTCTCTCTCTCTGTCTCTCTCTGCTTCTCTCTGTCTCTGTCTCTGTCTCTGTTCCTCTCTGTCTCTCTCTCTGTGTGTCTGTCTGTGTCTGTCTATCTGTCTGTCTGTCTGTCTGTCTGCCTGCCTGCCTGTCTGCCTCTCTCTCTCTCTCCCCGTTCCCCGAGACAGGGTCTCTTGCACCACCATGCCCAGCCTCTCCACATCTCTTAAACAGGGCACTCAGCGGATGTTTTCCCAGTGCCTGTGGGTCCCACACAGCTGCCAGCTGTCACACGCAAGCCCTGCTCCTCCACCCATGGCCACCGTCCAGGCGCCCATCAGGCCTAGGCAGGAGCCAGGCCAGAGAGAGCAGCCCAGCCTCCAGGGAGGTCTGTTCCCAGCTGGCCGGCCCGGAGCGTGGAGGGAAGGAGGAAAGGGCACTAGGGACCACAGCCTTGGGGCTCAGGGTCCATCCCAGCTCTGGTACCCCAGCTCCCTGACAGCCATGTGTGAGCATGCTCATCTTTGTGTGTGTGCACGTGTGTGAGTGAGCGTTCAAGCCAAAGCCATGGAGGCTGCGGGGAAGGGAGGGGTGGGGCCACGCTCCAAGCCCTCTCTATAAGAAGAGCCCCTCGGAGGCCTGGATGAGCTCACGGACAGTTGGGCTGTGCTACACTGCACAAGGCCCCATCCAGATGTGAGAGATTGGTGCTGAGCTGCTCTGAGAGTGACCTCAGCCGGGCCTCTCCCTGGAGGGATCCCGAGGCCAAGTCAGAACTCACAGCAGACACAAAGCGGACAGGGTGAAGCTAGGGCGGAGGAGTCAGGCAGCTTGCGACATCCACAGCTGGCAGATCCCACTCGGCTGGCCGCAGGGTCATGCTGCTACTCTTGGCATGGGCTGTGAGAATGCGGGATGGGGGAAGTGGAGCTGGAGTCTGCAAGAGGGAAAGTGATGCTCAGGGGAAGGACTTGGCCAGAGGCAGAGGGATCACAGACCTAGCTGGACAGACCCCTCTTCCCAGCCCATTGTGCATGAGGACAGCACTTCCTACCTCCCCGAGGGAGGCCCCTCCAAGCTGAGGGTCTATGAAACAAGGGAGTCAGACCACAGGGTCGTGGACCAGGGACACTCCCAGGCCTGTGGCAGCCTCTCCAGCCAGAGCCAGAAGGGGGCTCCCCCTCCCTCTTCCATCTCCCCAACCCTTCACATGCACGCACTCAGCCTGCCAGGGTTCGGCTCCAGTGACTCCCACAGACAGCTGGCTTTTGCCATGGAAAATATCTAACCCTGCTCACACCCTACACACCCAGGAGCCTGCTCCCGAGGGTCCATCTGCCCACTCTGCCCTACCACCCCAACCCCAGGCCTGGAGTACTTCAAACATCATTAATCCAAGACATCATAGCATTTCAGCGGTAAATATTTTCAGCATAGGTCTCTAAAAGATTCACTTTTATAACTGTAGTGAACCTGCAGTTATAACCACCCGCCCTGCCCCACAATTCAATAATAGCACCATTGTCTTTTTTTTTTTTTAATTATAGCAGCTACATTGTCTTTTTTTTTTTTTTTTTTTTTTTTTCCAGAATCGGGGATTGAACTCAGGCCCTTGCACTTGCCAGGGAAGCACTTATTCCACTGAGCCATCTCCCCGGCCCCCACATTGCCTTTTGAAGAGGAACGGGAATCGTGAAAAGGAGAATTTAACAGCCAAACTGGTCTCCACCAAAAGTGCTGAATTCCTCAGCTTGCAGTCACTATAACAAAATGCCCTAGGCAATTGGCTATAAAGACAAAAGGTTTGTTGGGCTCGTAGTTTTGGAGGTGCTAGTCCGTGGGTTTCTGTGAAACAGGAAGAAAACCTCTCACTTCATCATCTAGAAAGAAGAAATAGGGCTGGGGAGATGGCTCAGTGGAATAAGTGCTTCCCTGGCAAGTGCAAGGGCCTGAGTTCAATCCCCGGTTCTGCAAAAAAAAAAAAAAAAGAAAAGAAAAAAGAAAAGAAAGAAAGAAGAAATAGAAGAGACCAGGGTCTCAGGTACCCTTTGAGAACACTCTAGTGACCTAAATTCTTTCCACGAGGCTAAACCTTGAGAGGTACACCTTACCTCCCAATATGGCCACACTGGGGACTCAACCTCTAATCCATGGGCCTCCAAGACTCTACCAACAGGTGCACACAGACCTGTTGGCACGTGCAGCAGTCCCCCATCACCTGCCACTGCCCATGTCCCCTTCTGACACCCTCTTTGTACTCCACTCCTGCCACCCTGGTAAAGTGGCTCTCAAAGAACTAAAGCATTTGCTGATTTCCATATGTAAATATTGCCACTGTAGCTACTTTTCTTACAACCCACTCCCAGGATTCCTCAAGACTTAGCCACAGTCTCCCCTCCCGCCGGAATCTCCAGTAGAGGACCCCCTCTTAGAGGCCTCTAGGCACGAGCTCATTTGCATGTGGAGCCCTCGAGGAAACTTACCTTTCCCTGTTTTCATTGAATCCCCACTCCTCCCTCCAGGGGTCACCCCTAGATTCCTTGGCCTCTGTCCCCTCAGGAAACACACTCTCAAGTCTCCTTCCTGTCCCGCCAGCTACAAGCATGGCTGTATTTCTCTAGTGCTTAAGAAAACAGAGATGACAAACTTCTCAGGCCCATGACCTGAGCTCCCTGCCTTCCTAGCCAAGCTTCGGGAGCAAGGCTTCCAGGATCTGAGTTTGCACCCACTGACCTGGCACTGGCTAATAAGAAGGTTACAAGCTGGAGACTTAAGGGGTTTGTTCTCAGAGGACACTGGTCACCCTAGAGTCCTGTCTTTTGCAATTTTTTTTTTCAATGCTTTTCTTTTCTTTCTTTCCTGCTGAGCTCCATAACCTGAGCAGGAGATAGCAACTTACTGCAGGGGTCTCTAATAGCAGATGACATGATGCTCTACAGAGAAGACCCCCAAAATCCACCAAAAGTCTTCTAGATTTAATGACCAAATTCAGTTGCATATTCACTGAGAGAAAAATTAGGGAAGACACACCCTTCACAATAGCATCCTGAAAAATGAAATACCTAAGAATCAATCTAACAAAAGAAGGAAAAGATCTATACAGTGAAAATTATAGTACTCTGAAAGGAAATTGAAGAAGATATCAAGAAATGGAAAGATATTACTTGCTCTTGGGTAGGAAGAACCAATATAGTGAAAAGAGGGGCAGGGGATATAGCTCAGTGGCACAGTGCCTGCCTGGCAAGCACAAAGTCCTGAGTTCAATTCCCACTAGCAAAAAAATACATTCCAACATAGTGAAAATGGCCATACTACTGGCCAATCACCTTCTTCTGGGTGAACATGAATCTCTCGCCAGCTACTATAGCCCGTTACATCCACTGCTCCCATCTCCTGGTGTGTGCCTCTCTGTGTAGACCTCTGTGGCCACCAGCAGCCACCAGGGATCTGCAGGTCCAAGCCACCCCTCCCACAAAGTGACACAGGGCTCAGGGTAAAAGCACCACTTGCCACCTCGCTCTTCCGCACTGACGTCTCTCTCTTCGCTGTCCTGTGGACCTCAATTCTCCCTTCAGATCCTTGCCTGGTCCCTGGCATATGCTTCCCTCCTTCTTTTCTTCTTCATGTTGCCATATTCCAGCATCCAGACTCCAAATCTCAGAGACACTGTTTCTCTGCTGTTCACTGCCCTGCCATCATCCCGAAAGTAATATCCACCCACACGGGTGGATGGGGAAGAGTGAAGAGGGTCTTTCCAAACACTGGAGATCCAAAGGGTCTAGTCAGAGCTCTGGAGCTCACTGAGCATCCCATGCGGGCTCATATCAGGAGGCCAATCGGTCTGTGATGGAAGGATGAAAGGTTTGCATCCTCTCTAGGATTAGAAGCGGCACATAACTGACTGTTATGAAGGTTAACATCTAATTTATCTTGGCTGATATGACTGTAGCTATTTCACTTGACATTAGCAAGATCACATGACTATTGCTATTTCTCTGTAAACCAAGACTCTGGTTACCTTTATGACATTAACAATACTAGCGTACATTCCCAGAGAACTTGGCTGTGGAGCTAACCACAGTACCAACCAGGGATGTTTCTATGGCTGTCTTTTCTGGTCCTCCTCATGCTGTGCACCCTCCTGCCTTAAGCCATGCTGACCTTGTCACTCTCTGCAGGATCTGTAAATCTCTTCGCTTCTGCAGACCTCTGGGACAGCGTCCTGCTTACTGAGGGTCAGCATGCTCTTCAATGCTCCAGCTAACTCTGATGCCACAAGCAGCTCAAAGCCAAGAACTCTGCAAACTGAACTCAGAATGAGGCTCTAAGGTCTCCACTGTGAAGGTTGTGTTGCCAGGAGGAATCAAGGTTGGATGCAAGGGGCCAGGGAGATGGCTCAGTGGAATAAGAGCTTCCCTGGCAAGTACAAGGACCTGAGTTCAATCCCTGGTTCCACAAAAGACAAAGAAAGAAAAGGAAAGGTTGGATGCAGAAAGGACAGATTGAGAGCTGTACATATTGCTGGGTGTGATGGTGCACACCTATAATTCCAGCACTCTGGGAGACTGAGACAGGAGAATCAAAAGTTCTCAGTGTGGAAAACTTAAAAAGGGCTGAAGATATAGCTCAGTGCAAAAGTTCTGGGTTCACTCTGTTCCAGGCAGTACGATGTTGAGCATGGCATTTCACCCTTCTGTGTACCAATTTCCCTATGTGTAAAGAGGTGATAAAGACAGGCTCCTGAGGGCTGGTGAGATAGCTCAGCACACTAAGTGCCTGCTTAGGCAAGTTCAGGGACCAGGGTTCAATTCCTGGCACCACAGCCTGTTCCAGGCCATGCTGAGCCTGCAACCAAGTCCAGGAATGGTGGTGCACACCTGTAATCCCAGCACTGGAGAGGCTAAAAACAGGAGGATTACTGAGTCTGAGTTGCGTAGTGAGACCCTATACCAAATACATTAAAAAAAAAAAAAAAAAAAGGACAGGTTCTTGAGGAGGTCACTGAATTGACATATTAGCTTAGAGTTCACATTACATAGTCAGATTAACACACATCAAATGCCAATGTGACCAGTGTTAGCACTCGGCTAACATGCTCACTCATGTTCTTCCCACCATGCCTCAGATAGCTCAGCGGTCTAAGTGCCTGTCAGGCAAGCACAAGGACTTGAGTTCAATCTCCAGTATGGTACCACGTGCCTTGCCAGCCCCTGAAACCAGCCAGTCTGTGATCCCAGCACTGGGGAGGATGAAACAGGAGGATCACTATGAGTTTGAGCTGCATAGCAAAAGCTTGTACCAAATAAGTTTTTTTTAAATGTTTTTTTTTTTTTTTAACTCAGGATACTGGGGCTGGCCAAATAGCTCAGCAGATTAAAGCACTTGCTTAGGCAGACGCAGAGGCTGGGAGTTCAATCCCCTGGCCTGCTGTGCCAGCCCCACCCCAGGGGCATACTGAGATGGCCACTGAGACTGGGCATGGTGGCATGCACCTGCAATCCCAGCACTTAGGAGGTGTAAACGGGAGGATCACTACAAGTCTGATCTATGCAGTGAGACCCAGTATGCCCTACACACCCTGCCCTAAATACAGAAAAAAAAACCTCAGAATATTCAATCACTATAACAAACCTCCAAACACTATAATTGGCTAATTAAGTCTTGACATACAGTTATGCCCTTTGGCTTGGTTCTGGGATCCTTGACTCCTGTCCCACCTGCTACTACCTGAAACGTGCAGCCCCTTCACACTTCCCAAGAGAGCATTAGCCCAAGAAGCCTGGAATTTCCTGCCTCTCCATCTCAGCTGGGCCAAAACCTCTCCTTTCCTGACCTCACCCAGCCCAGGCACTGCCTCTTGGGTGAAGCCCCCAGCTCTGTCGGTGGCTGTGGCCACAGAGTCAAGTGAGGCAACCCACATATTGGTTGCCTGCTGCTGGCCTTGTGACTGTGTTGGACCCACCTCACTTACATCCATGATTTTGTAGGAGTCTCTAGCCTAAAGAGAAACTGAACAGGATCTCATGATAAATCCTGAGGAGATTTCACTGACCTTCTCAGACCAAAAAGCTACAACTCTTGTTGCATAGGTTCTGCTTTACCTTGGTCTTAACCATCCAGTAGAAAAGTATGAAGACGAAATATAGGAAATAAAGCCATGCTGTTATGTTGAGCTGTGGAGGATTCAGGTCAATAATTTCTGACATTGCCAGTTAAACAGAAGACCCAATGCTATTATGGGCTACTGGACTCTTTTAGAATATTTTGCTGAGTTTACACACCTATAATATTCAAATAACACGGAACTTAGAAAAAATGGGGTATACCGATGAATGTCCATTTTGTATCTGTGTATTCAAAGTGATTAGAATAGATATATAGTTACATTCTCTTAATGAATAGAATGATTTGTTCTAACGGTGTTTGTAAATAGGATCTCAAGTCTGCATCTTGTACAGCAATTAACCACTAAGAAGAATATATGCAGTGTGTTAGTTATTGAAACTGTACTACCGATTTGATTTGAAACTATCTCATTGCTATCTGTTTATCAATAAAATTTTGAAAAATAAATAAATAAAGAGAAACTGAGGACCCCACGCTAACAAGATGTGCTTCTCTGCAGCTGCCGAGCCCCTCAGTGCCTCCCAAGGAGACCCAGCTTGGAGTGCAGGCTGTGACAGGCTTGTGGCTGTCCAAAGCCGTTTAGATGCCATGGAGGAGGTAATGACTTCAGATTGGGCTGGGACAGGGGCAGGAGTCTTCAGGACCACCCCCTGCACTAAAAGCTCTTTTTCCTAACTGGGCTGTTAGCTGACCACCTCTGCTTACCCTCTGCCTTTCCTGGGGCCTGGCTTATGCTCAGCCTTCGAGCTCTCCAAAATTAGAGGAGGTGGAAGACTAGCTGCCATGTTTTAGGGTACGGCCATAACTCAGAAACTGGGGCTTAAGGCCAGAGAGAAGGCTCAGTGGACTAAGCGCCCGCTTAGGCAAGCACCGCGCTGGCCCCGCCCCCGGATACTCTGAGCCGGGCACCGAGTCCAGGTGTGGTAGTATATGCCTGTAATCCCAGCGCTGGGAAGGCTGGAAGCAAGAGGAACACTACGAGTCTGGGTTGCTTAGTAAGACCCTGTACCAAATACGTACATTAAAAACAGAGAGAGAAACGGGTTTATAAGCTTGTGGAGAGTAGATCTTTACGCCATAAACTTTCCATTGAAAAGTACCTTTCCAATCCATAGTAGTGTCACCAGCACCATGAAAAAAATCACAGCTTTCATCCCATCACTGTTGAATGAATATCGCCTAGTGGCCTTTACAATCCTCATTGGGTCAGAAGGACCCAATGTTAGGCCTGATGTTAGATCATGTTATTTAATGAGTTAATAAATAACAACAAAATTTTAATTATTAACACTCAAAAATGTTATGACACATTTGCTGTCCCTACTAGTCCTATATGCTTTATTTTTTGCATTTGAAGAGTTATTCTGAGGAGAATCTGTAGGTTGCATCAGATGCCAACAGGGTCTATGGTGTAAAAAATTCATTAGAAACTGATAGGGTGGGTATCTCAAAATCCCAGGCCTGCTATTTGGCAGAAAGGCCACCAGGGGGCAGGGCAATAAAAGGAATCTGAGCTCAGGCTGAGCGGTCCCAAAGGAAAACCGACGCTCCTGAGATCCACCCGGGGGAGCCTGGCTTTAAACCTTGGAGAGGCAGGCAGAGATGCGCTTGGAATGCGAACCCCCCGAATGTCGTCCTTCGGGAAGAGGCCGGGAGGGGCAGAGCTGGACGAGGACCCAGAGCCTCAGCACGGTCCCCTCCGCGTGCGCTCGGTGGTCCTTAGGATGCTGCCACCTGGGCAGACGGTCCCACTCTGGGCCCTGACTCTACCCCGCTTCCCGCTGTAGACTGTGGAGAAGACGACCGAGCACCTGGAGGCCGAGGTGAAAAGCCTGTTGGGGCTGCTGGAGGAGCTGTCGTGGCACCTGCCCGCGGCGCCCTTCAGCCCGGCCCCCGACCTCCTCGGGGATGGTGAGTGGCTGGCTGGGCCTGTCACCCGAGAGGCATCACCTAGCCCCTCCTTTGCTGGAGAAGCTCTCTCTGCGCACTGTCTCCTTCCATCCTCCTTCCTTGGACCCCCTCCTGTTGTACCCAGAATTCCCTTGGGGAAGATGGCACCCCCTGGTGGGCACAGGTGGGAGGTGCCCTGCTCCCTCCATGTGCCTTTTCCCTAGATGGCAGCTGGGGGTTGGGGAAGCTGCAGGGCTCCCTGGGGCGCGAGGGCCTTGGCTGCCCCCGGCCACCCACTCTGGGTCACCCCTTTTCTTCCAGATCACTTCTGACCGCCGAGGTGGGGCAAGTCCAGCCGCTCTAGGAGAGGCCTGTTGGACAGCACCCGTCTGAGGACAGTCACGCCTTCCTTCCCCACCTTTGCGTGAAATAAAAGCTACTCCTCAGGTCTCCTGTGTCTGCCGACAGAGTCACCCCAGAACCACAGCCCTCCTCGCTCTGCTCCCGCCCTAAGCACCCATTTCCTCACCCCCACCCCACCCTCCACCCCCGCCCCACTGGGTGTCCAGAGGCCGGGCACTGTGGGCGGACTCCTAAGGGGACACAGCCTCCGCTACTGGGGCTAGCGCCACCACGGGCGAGCAACAGCACCCCTGGACGTTGTCACAAACGCAGGCTCTTGGGACCCTCCCAGGCTTCTGAATCCCAATTTGCTCTTTGATGTACTCTCCAGGTGTCCGCGTGCCAACTGGACGCTCCTCCTACCTCTCACCCGGTGCTGGGCATTGAGTTCCACTCTATCCTGAGCTATATCCCCAGCCTCCTTTAAAAAAAAAAAAAAATCCTATTGCAATAACATTCATGTAACAAATTCCCCAATTTTAGACACTTAAAACTACAAATACCAGAGCTTCCAGTACGTTCACAATATTGAATTCCAAAACATTTTTATCAACCCAGAAAGAAACCTGGGCCAATTAAACAGTCACTTCCTAAGTCGTGTGCTTCCATCCCTGGAATCCACAAGCCTGTTTTTGTGGACTTGCCTATGTGGCACGCTTTCTATAAATGAAACCTACAAAACATGGCCTTTTGTATCTGTCTTCTTCTTCTTCTTCTTCTTCTTCTTCTTCTTCTTCTTCTTCTTCTTCTTCTTCTTCTTCTTCTTCTCCTTCTCCTTCTCCTTCTCCTTCTCCTCCTCTTCCTTCTATCCCCCTCCTCCTCCTCTTCCCCCTCCTTCTCCTCCTTTCCCCCTCCTCTTCCTCACCCTCCTCCTACTACTACTCCTCCTCTTCCCCCTCCTCCTCCTCCTTCTTCTTCCTCTTCTTTACAATATTTTATCGGTACATTCTATTTTTTTTAATATTTATTTATTTATTTATTTATTTATGTATTTTGTGTGTGTGTGTGGCCAGCTCAGCCCACCAGGGGGCGGGGCTGGCTGGCATGTGGTCCTGGGGATTGAACCGTGGTCCCTGTGCTTTGCTAAGCTTAGTTTGTTCTAAGTAGGTGCTTTAGACCACTGAGCCATCTCACCAGCCCTATTGGTACATTCTAGACATAGACAACAATCACATTTATCATAGAGAATTTGTACCAGTATGTGATACAATTTGGATTTTTTCCGCATTCCACTGTCCTCCTTTCAGCCCCTCCTCCCCTTCCATTCACAAAGCCTTGTTTCCATGTTTTCCTTCTTTTTCTTTTCCCTTCTTTTCTTTCCCCCTCCCCCTCTCTGGATCTGCCCCCTTTCACTGCCTGTGTTCTCAAGGTTCATTTGCCTGTGTCAGTCCTTCATTCCTGTTTCTGGCTCTGTCGTGTTCCACTGTGTGTGCAGAGCACATTTTATCCATCCACTACCCCCACCCCTGGGAATGACAGGTTGGTGGCACTTCGGGACTATTATGCTAATAATATTACAAACCAGTCATCTCTGGGGTCTCGTGTGGACAAACGATTTTATTTTTCCCGAGTGTGTGCAGAGGAATGAAGTTGCTGAAAGGGTAGTGAAACTATGTTTCACTTTTGGAAAGCCACTGAGCTGGTTTTTGCCCCAACTGCCGTTTTACAGCCCCTACTCCAGCAGTGCCAGCTGGGAGGTCTCCACAGATGCCCTCCATCTGATTGAGAAATTGCCCTTCTATTCTTAGATCCTTGAGTGTTTCAAAGAGCATTAGGCTGTCACCGATGCTTTCTCTGCATTTGAAAACAAATGCAGATGATCATGCCCAGGATTGGGAAGTGTGGTTCGCATTTCATTTCATAAACAGGGTCTCACTGTGTTTCCCAGGCTGGTCTCAACCTTGCAACTCTCCTGCTGAGTAGCTGGGACTGCAAGCACACACCATCCCGCCTCCTCATTGTATTAGCCGCATGCAGCTTTGGTTGATTTTCACATATTGAATCTCCCTTGCATTACTGGGGAGAACCACCCCTGGTCGTAGCATGTGGTCCTTTTATATCTGTAGCCGGATTGGTTTGCCAGCATGTGGTTGAGCATTGTTGCACCTCTATTCTAAGAGATGCCAGTCTGTAACTTTCTTGTGATGGTGTCGGCTTTGGTATCAGGATAATTCTTGTCTTTTTTTTTTTTTTTTGGTGGAACCGGGTATTGAACTCAGGCCCTTGCGCTTGCCAGGGAAGCGCTTATTCCACTGAGCCATCTCCCCGGCCCCAAATTCTTGTCTTATAGAATGAATGAGGAAGTGTTTTCTTTTCCTCCTCTATTTTTTGGACGAGTTTGAGAAGGACTGGTTATTGTTTTTGTTTAAACATGTGATTCACCAGGGAAGCCATCGGGATATGAGTTCGGTTTAACTACTAACCGAATCTGTGCATTTGCTATAGATCTGTCCAGATTTTCTGTTTTTTCATCAGCCAGTTTCAGTAACTTTTGTGCCTCTAGGATATATCCATTTCCTTTCGATTGCTCAATAGTCGGCATGCAATTGTTTGTAGTATTTTCTTAGCCTTCCTCTTACTCCCGCAAGCTTACCACCAATGTCCCGTTCATTCCATTGAGTCTAAGAAATCTTTGCCATTAGTTGTCAACTTCTACCTTTGCACTGGAATTTGCTCTATTTATTTTTAAAACAGTATCTCTATTGTCTTGAGACAATGTCTCAGTAGGTACATCAGGCCGGCCTCAAGCGCCCAGTGATCCTCCTGCCTTACCCTCCGAGTGTTGAAATTACAAATGTGCATTTTCACGCTCAACTAACTCTTCTTACATTATCCATAATTGTCATGCTCAGCTAACTCTTATTACATAATCCTCAATCCTCTTATGCCATCTGTTGTTACAGATTATTCTAAGTACATCACTTTTATTCCTTTCTCACTTATTTCCTACTTTAGTTATTTTGAGAGTGGTTTCGCTGTGATTACAATTAACTTCCTATTGCATAACAATCTAATATGAATTAACACCACATTCTACTAGTGTACAAGAACTGTTTCTATGTACCTCTGTCACCCATCCTTGTGCTGTTATTGTCCCAAAACACAGCTTTATGCATTTCATGCCCACCAAAGTAGGTATAATTATTGTTTGGTATGGTTGTCCCTTTAAAAGTGGACACAAAGCCCCCGTGTCTGGAACAAGCATATAAACCCCTCCCCGTCCTTACAGATCTGCTGTATGTGTGCTGGTAGTGCACCCTTCAGCAGAGCTGTTTCTCTCTGCCTTAGCATTCACTTCCTGCTCAAGCAGAAAGGAAAGGTCAGGTACAGGCGATAGGTTAGGACTCTAGGTAGCCCCAGAAACATGGGCGCCCTTTAAATCCTTTTCTCCCCAGAGTATCGCATTCCTCAGCCCTTCCTCCCCACACATTTCCATTCGTCTCGTTGGCCCAAGTGCTACTCCTTCCCTAGGCAGTGGTAGTGAGTGGACTTGAAATACCCTCTCCCCAAGTTGCCAGCTGTCTCAGTTACTTTTTCCTCATTGCTGGGACAAAATACTCAATGCCTAAAATCAAGGAAGGAAAGGTTTATTTCGCTCAGTTAGTGAAGGTTTCAGTCCATACTTGGCTGGCTCCAAGGCAGAGGGCAGCTATTCATGGCAGTGGAAAACAGCCAAGAGGAAAAAGGGAGGAGCAGTGGCTGGCAGCTAGCAAGCCTCTCCCCCTCCTTATATTCTTTTCAGGCTGTCTGCCCCAGGGCTGGTGTAGCACTCACACCCATAATCCCACCATTGGATTATGAATTAATCACAGACTCTAGAAGCCACCCCAATGACTGCACGAGGCTTTGGGGGAGGCAACTAGACACAAATCACAGCACCAATTCACCCTGGATGAGTTCCAGGCTAGATCAAACAAAAGCGCAGCATCTGAGGTGGGCACAGTTGACAGATAAAAAATAAAATAATTCTCGAGGATGAGGTCCACTGCATTTCCCCAGCACAAGGAAGTTACAGGGAACATGGGATTTTTGTTTTTGCTGCTGCTGCCAAGGCAGAGACGGGATAAGCTAAAGAGCAGCAAAGATTTCTTACAGGATTGAGCTTTCTTTCTCAGGCATCTGATCCCTAAACATTCCATTATTTTCTGAGCGCCAGTAAACGTGACCCTGACAGTCTTTGCTAGCTTATATGATCCTGTTGTAGAGGGACCAATTTTTGGCATTCTCTAGCGCAACATTTTTTTTTTCCTTAGCATTTTTTACCCCATTAAAATGTAAGACGCTCTGAGTCCTCTGCTCATTTCACGAAGGCCCAAAGAGAAGTTGCTGCTCCAGGGCCATGAGGAAAATCTGGCTGAGCTAACATCAGAATAGATGCCTGACTCCCAGCACTGAGTCCTTTCTGCTTGAGGGCAGCACCTTATGCGAGAAGAAAGCAGGCTCAGCACGAATGCTGTGGTAGACCAAGGGGCAGGTTATTAAGGAGCAGAAGCTATGACTAGGAGTCCCCGGAAGAGCTACTCTTGCCCTGGCAGTAGCCCTTCTGTGGGTTGCTGCCACTGTACCTGGTGGGGAGCTGGGTGGTGGTAATCCTGTCCCTTCGAGGAGCACAGAGTTTCAGGTTTGATCATGAGATGAAAATGTAAGCCTGTCTACTAGGGATGATGGATTTAGCTTGGTGTTTCCAGTTACACCCCACTCACTGTCTGTTGGGGTAGGAAAGAGCCAACAGAAGAAGGGCCCAACCCCAAAGGCAAGGACTGTCTTCCTGCTGGGCCCAACAGAGGCTGACACAGTGCAGCCCTCAGCTGTTGCTCGAGCCCTGGACACCGGCAGAGGCTTACCTTCCCGCATCCACTTCCCAAAGCTGGAGTGCCTTGTCCTACCTCTCACCACCTGCCTGAATTCGGGCACACCTGCCAGCTGCTTACCTGCATGACCTGCTCAGGGAGTTCTCTGCCTCAGCTCAGTGATGTTTACATCAGCACTGGAGCACAGGCCATGGAGTTTCCCAGTCCCCACACCTCTAAGAATCTGAGAACAGGGCCCAGGGCTTGTTCCTTAACAAGCTCCTAGCAATCCTGATGCACGCCAAAGTTTGCCAACCACATCAGGACTGCCTACCTCCCAAAGATGAGCATGCCAGGGCGCCTCTTTTACATTCTGCACCTGAGACAAGTGCCCCACTCACCTCACCCTCATCCTAACCCAGTGTCCCCTTTCAGCATGTATTGCTGCTGAAAATGTACTTGGGGCCAAATTCACCCAGTGCCCTGTCTTTGTGCTGACAGATGTTTACATTTTGTTAGGTCCTTGAGGCTCTGTGGGTGACTGAGATTAAGGGTGGCGGACTAAGTATTTTGGCAGAGGAAATTTCAAGGTGGTCTAATGTTGAAGGTGTAGCACAGGTAATGTTGGGGGCTTTAAGCAGGTTTATACAAAATCAAGAGCAAAAATCCCATTTTTAAGTGTTTTGGGCTGGGTGTGGTGGCACATGCCTGTGATCCCAGCATTCAGGAGCTCAAGGTTAGGAGGGTCATTGCAAGTTTGAGGCCATCGTGGGCAAGAATGAGTTTGAGGCCAGCCTGAACCGCATAGGGAGAACTTGTCTCAAACAAAAATGTTTTTAGTTTCACCAGAAAAGAAATTCCTGTAAACTAGGAACAGAGGAGACCTTGGTTGCTGAAAAGATTAGGGTTAAGAAGGAGGCACGTACTTTGTAGGAAGGATGGTCTGAGGGCATCACGGGAATCAATAAGGCCTCACTTTTCTGCAGGCTCAAAATTGCAAAGTGAAACACTGTGCTTTGAGAAGAGTCCCAGGGCACACTTCTTGAGAAAAGCCCCCTAAAAAAATTGCTTTGTGATTGAATTCAGTGTTCACCCATCCAGGTACTCAGAGGCCTCTGCAGCAATGGCACAAGAGGGCCTGGCTACTGTCTGAATTGGTGGCAGGGCTTGGTGTCACCTATATGGTGCTGGCTTTATTTACAGACACAGGATGCAAAATCTGTGGCTTCCACCCAGATTTCAAAAGGCCTGGGAGGACTGGCAGGGTGTCCTTGAGAGGGCAGCATTTGAAGCTGCAGAAGTGAACCCAAAAGGGCAGTGGCAACCTCAGGAAGCTGCAGAAGCCGGGATTGTGGAATGCCTGAGGAAAGCCACACAGTGCAAGCAAAGGCAGCTCAAGAGAAAAGCCATGAGGACCACCATCACTGGAAATGCTGTAGGGGTGAAGCCCCCTAAGCTACCTGCAGTTCCTATCTTACCACAAGCTCCTGACATGGAACTACAGGATTAAGTGCCCTGTTGGGCTTTCGTGTCTTGTTTTGGTCCCATTCACTTCTACCCTCCTATTCCTCCCTTTTGGAATGGAAATGTTTATCCTGTGCCACTGGACGTCAGCAGTGTTTCCTCTTAACTTTCATAGGAACTCACAGCTAAGACTTTCCTTAATTTTATTTATTTTTTTTACTGGCAATCGAATTCAGGACCTTACACTTGCCAGACAAGTGCTTGTGCCACCAAGCTATATCCCTAGCCCTTTCTTAAGTCTTTTTTTTTTTTTTTTTTTTTAATATATGCTTCTGCTCTAGAGTCACTGAGTATGTTTTTCATTGTGGTCATATTTCTGTAGTTATCTGGCATTTAGTTCAGGGTCTACAGGGTCTCACTACACAGATCAGACTCGTAGTGAGTTTTCAGCCTCCCAAGCACTGGGATTTCAGGCAGTGCCACCACACCCAGTCTCAGTTGCCCTCTCAGCGTGCCCTGGGGGCAGGACCAGTACAGCAGGCCCAGGATTGAACCTCTGACCTGTGTCTGCCTAAACAGGTGCTTTAATCTGCTGAGCTATCTGGCCAGCCCCCATTCTTAAGTCTTAAAGGAGATCTTGGAAATGTATTTCTCAGCAGTGCTGGGAACTGTTAGAAATTTGCAATGGTTAGAGATGGATTAAATGTATGTTGCATAAAGATATGCATGAGTCTTCTGGGGGCCAGAAATGAGATGTTATCATTTAGATCTCAAATGGCCCCAAAAGCCTGTGCTATTAAAGTGAGTAGAGGATGGGGTAATTAACTTGCTGGTGGGAGGTGGGATCTGGTCAGGAGACATCACTGGGGGCGTGGCCTGAGCGCATCTCTCACCCCAGCTCCTCCCGTTGCTCTCTGCTTCCGGTTCACCACGCCGTGAGCAGTGCTCCTCTACTAGGTCCCTCTGCCATGCTGTCCTGCACTGGAGCCCACCGACTATGGACTGAAACGTGAACCAGAAGAAACCTCTCCTCCTTGACGTCGTAGGTGTTGAGTCTTCTACCCTAGTAACAAGAAAGTGACAAGGACAGCTTGTGTCCCTCAAAAACGATCAGGAGTACAACCAGAGAACCAGCACCAGAGAAAACACAGAAGGCCCGTCTTTGGAGCAAGGCTCTCAAACTCAAGGGGCTGCAGGGGCTACAGTGAAAAGGCCTGCTGTAATACAAGTGGTGGTCCCTTGGCCAGTGGAGAACCCATGTCTAAAGGTGGAACTGAAACTGGCTCTGGCCAAGCGGAAATGCAGGCCCAGAGAAAATCTCTTATCTGTCTGTCTGTCTGTCTGTCTGTCTGTCTGTCTGTCTGTCTCCATTTATGTGTTTTGAATGCAAGCCAGAAGTGAAGATTTTTCAAACATTAAAGCTCCCGGTGCGGCCTCACCAAGAAATAAAAATAACACTGCAAAAAAAAAAAATAATTTAAAAAATAAATATAAAAGTAAAACATTATGACATTTTATTATTGTACAGTATATATAACAACAATTTCCTAAAAATTCTCTTGAGGACCAAAGTAAACGTATCTATAACCCTAATATTGCTGGCTGGGCACCAAGCTGAAAACTCTCATGTAGACGACAGGCAAAGCAATCTCAGAGGACATTCACAGTCCTATCAAAGCATATTTCCTTGAGGCTCTGCCACAGCTCAGAAGGCCACCCAGGTCAGCCTGAGTCCAAGACATGTTGTAATATTGCTGGCAAACCCTGTGGGCAAAGGCCTGCCCCAACGGAGGGGTTTCCTGGGAGACCAGCAGGGGTGGGACTTCAGCTCGAGCTCTGGCTCCAGAGGTCCCCACGCATGGAGGCTGAGGCAGAGACCCACCCCAATGCCCACGCCAGTCACAGCTTGGGAAGGCAGGCCCAGCAGCGCGAAGCCAATGTCCAGCTCCTGAGTGCTCTACGGAGCCTTCTGGCTGCAGTCCCTCTTCTCACTGCTTAAGGCCAGTGACATGTCAGGCAAGATCCCCAAGCAGATGTCTGCCCTGCACACAGGACGCTCCCTGCATTCCTTTGGCTTTTTTTTTTTTTTTTTTTTTTTGGCGGAACCAGGGATTGAACTCAGGTCCTTGTGCTTGCCAGGGAAGCACTTATTCCACTGAGCCATCTCCCCAGCAACTCCCTGTATTCCTGCCAGGGCTCAGCAGGCTTGATCCAGCCAGGTCTCTCTGCATTCTCCCCTTCCCTTACTCTTCAACACAAGTCAGCAAAGAAGAGGGAGGAGCCCTGTACTCAGCAAGCCCAGCTCTGTGCTTCTGGATAAGACCGGGTGACTCCCAGAGCCCTGTCCTTTCTGGAGTCCCCTCTCCTAAGGGGCAAGGTCCTGTCAGGCTGAGAGCCATGTGTGCTCTTTGACTGAAGGCTCCGACCTGTGCCCTCTTTGTAGGATCAGGGTGGTAGACCATACTCTCCCTGCCTCGCTCTCAGGGGCCTGCACCCCATCAGCATCCCTCAGCTGTGTCTGACCTCTGGTGTGGTCTGGGGGAAGCCCCTTCACTGGTCTCTATGCCAAGCTCCATGAGTGTGCTACGCCCTGGGCCAACCACCAGTTTCTACTTCAACTTGGATGGATTTTCACTGGCTAGAAAGGCAGAACCCCCAGGCCCTGAAGCGGAAGAAAACAAGCTGGCACCAGGAAGACTTTTCCAGAACATTCCAGAGCTGGCCAACTTTAATTTGGAAACAATTTTTGGCTACAGACATTCAGGTTTAAGGCACATTTCAAAGTACAAGGAGCCCCGTCACTGACTGGGAATGGGCTTTTGCCTTGTGGTTTTGCACGGGAAACAGAAAAAATGACCGCCTGGTCTTTTTTTTTTTTTTCTCTAAAAAGGAGTGAGTTTGGCAAAAACAAAGCTCATGATACTTTCTCACCAGATGCAGCTATTACAGCTGCAGGCCCTCCGTGAGGTTCATGGCTCTTACCAGAAATTTGTACACAGACTAATGTGCATCAGCTGGGCAATGACAGTTAAAAAAAAAAAATGCCTCCGAGAAAGAATATAAAAGTACACAACTAAAATGATGCTGAGGATCTCAGCCACAAGAAAACGAGGAATGATTGCCCAAGTCAGGAAATAAAATATCTACTCTAACAGCCTGAGGCTACAGTGGGTGGGAGGAGAAGGCTCAAGAGAGCCATGGCCACAACCAGGCCTGTAATCAGGGTGCCTAGGCCAGGAAGGGCAGGGCTCTAGGGACAGACGTGCACCTTGGGGCTACTGGCTGATTTGTGAGAAGCAGACATCATTTGGCAGCATCTTGGCATTCCGATGCCAGCAGGGGGTGGAAGTGAGCCACCAGGCACAGCTCAGTCGTTGCCCCCACAGATCTTCAGCAGGATCTTGCGGTAGTCCCCAGAAGTGTCTCCCTGGTCACAGGAACAAGAACATGAGTTAGGCGAGAGAGACCCACTTCCCGCCTCTGGATTCTCCCTGGCTTGAGCACTTTTGTGCACAGGCAGATCCATGCCATGGAGATGCCCCCACAGGTGGGGGAGCAGGTGGCCTACACCTGGGGGTGCGCACCTCAGCCATGACCAGGCCCGTTAAAGAACAGAAAGCTGCACTTGCACCCATGATCAAAGGTAAATAAGCAACCCCAACAAAATTTAAAATCGGGCTGGCGAGATGGCTCAACAGACTAAAGCACCTGGTTAGGCAAGCACAGGGACTGTGGTTCGATCCCTGGCATCACATGCCACGCCCCCAGGGTAGGCTAAGCCAGCCACAGAGCCAAGGCATAGTAGCATATGACTGTAATCCCAGCACTGGGGAGGCTGAAAGCAGGAGGATCACTATGAGTCTGAGTTGCTTAGTGAGACTCTGTAATAGCCAAATACATTTTTAAAAAAAAGGAAAAAAATCACTAGCTGGGACTAACTTTCACCCAGGCATTTCTGGACAACCAAACAGGGGTTCTAGCAAAATGCACAATGTATCCTACTTGGAGATGTATTATCTCTGTGGCCACCCAATGCAGGACATTGCTGTCACCTAGGCTGTCAAGTTTCTGGGAGCTCTGCCCTGCCTAACACCTCTGCACCCACTGTTGGGGGACAGCAGGGGGGCTCTGCTAAATCCCGATCATCTCCTCCCACCCTGGCTCTCGGGCAGCACAGCCTGTGGCTTCCTCTGGACAGCACAGCCACTGGCACTCGGGAGGGGCTCTGTCCCTGCGTACAAATGCTCTGCTGATCACAGCCACACCCTCACAGCACAAGCGGAGAGCTGCATCTTTCCAAGAGCAGCCCAACAATGTCAACTGCTAGAGTCGGAAATGAGGACAGCAGCTCCGTGACTTTCTCAATTCCAAAGTTCAGCAGAGTTCAGAACGTAACTGTCAGTCCAGCCACACAAGAACACGCGGCCAGCCTGGCCCCAGAACACTGACCAGCCAGTGTTTGCCACACAGCACTCCTAGGGAGGCAATCTCGTTAGCCTCACCTTAAACACGATGGGGCTGGGGCCCAGACAGGTGCAAGACCACACAGTTAGCAAGGAGAAAAGCAGAGACCAGACTCCTAGGTGAGCCCACAGGCCCTGGCAGAGCTGCTGCCTTACTCTGCCTCGCAAGAAATCAGTGAACCAGACCTGACCTCCAGGAAGCCTCTGCGATCACAGTTCCGAGAGGCTGGGACCCCAAAGACCAATGCCAAGTTGGAGGCGGCCCAAGATTGTCTGCACGCTACTGGGGGCCGCCCTGTGCAGTTACTGAGCAGCAGAGGCCAGGGATGCAGCACAGGGCCTGCCCTGCCCTCAGGAGCCGATGCCTGCCCGAGAGCCACTGCACGGACAAGGGAAGCCGCCGAGCACAGAGCCGAGGTCCGTCAGCACAGTGCCCATGTGCAGCCCTGAGGCCGAGTGCACGGCTTCTCCACAGAGGGTGAGCAGAAGGGAAGCGGGTGCACCTGGGAGGTGCACAGGCACCACAGGCGGCAGCCAGGGCCCGTACCGTGATGTCGTGGTACAGCGACTTGCCATACATCCGCTTGTACTCTGCTCTGATGTCCAGAAGGTCAACCTCGCTGCGGGACACCAGGATGCGAATCAGGGTCCGGTCCTTCGTTCCTGCTCCCTAAAAAGGCAGCCCAGGGACATGAGGAACAGGCCCTGCATCCCCTGCTTCCTCTGCCCTCCCGCTCCCCACTCAGCCTTCAGATCCCTGACTGTGGCCCTCCCACGCCTACGGCACAGGTGGGGCTGCCCACTTCATTACATACCCGCATGGCCCTGTTGAGCCTCTCAGCAAAGAAGGCTGGGGTGTTCTTGAGACATTTTACTGCAAGAGAGAAACACAGCATAACTATATCTTCAGAAAACTCTCAACCTAGGAGCCACAGAGTACACACGTCCTCCTCCCAGAGGCCGGGACACCAAGCCCATCACAGCATCCACCACCCACCCCCGCACCCCGCCTGCAGGCTCAGTTATCCCAGGATCATGACTCTGGCTCTTTGGAACAGAAACACACAGAGCCAGGATAGCCATCCCACTCTCTTTCCTGGCAGCCACTGTGACAGAAGGACAGAGAAGCACAGGGCCCAGGAGGGAAGAAATGCTGAGCAGTGAACAACTGTGTTGCTAAGCAGGCAGGAGGGGACGGCTGCAGATCCCGTGACCCCCACGGAGACAGACCAGCCAGCAAAGTCAGTGTCTCTGGAGTGCTCGGCCCACGAGCCACACCAGGGGGCCCTTGCAGAGAATGAGAAGTACCATCTGTCCAAGGAAAGCACCATGATAAAAATGGGCAGCAGGTACCCCAAGGGGCATCCAAGGCGCAGTGACAAGGGCCCCAGAGCGTGGACCCGGTATACACCCGGAGCATGCGCCCTGCTCCGGAGGCGCAGTTACCGGAGCTCAGCCAGCTTCTCTGGAACGGGCTTGCTGTGCTGTTGCAAGTAAAAATCTGCCCTGTGTTTCCATCGCAAATATCTACAAGTGCCTGCAGAGAGTATTTTTAGAGAAAGCTTGGCAGGGTATGAGTCACCCTCCTCTGGGAGAGCGGCTAGGTGCCTCCCACCAGGGCCCACACTGCAGCGCCCCTTTCGGGGCCATTCTGGGAACATAAACAACACACAGCCATCCCAGACAGCTGGGCTCACTGTGCCACGGGCAGGGCAGCAGCATGAGGTCCCAGCCTTCGCACTCTCTGGTTTTGACAGTTTGGGTCCTGAAGCTCTTTCTACGCACCACCTCTGAGCCAGAGGACAGGAACTACCCCAGCAGCTGGAGGCACTCACCAGCCCCCAGGACACCTACCCACGGCCAGCATGCCCTGCTCCAGGTCCCCCGACATCTCCCGGCAGATGCTCTTCTCGATGTCCCGACCTGTCATCCTCTGATACTCATTGAAAACTAGTGGGGACACAGAGAAACAGGTCACAGGATCCCCCGCAAATCCATGCTCAAGTCCTAGCCCTGGGCACTACAGAATAGAACTGTATTCAGCGATAGTCTTTAAAGAGGCCACTACATCAACACTAGACTTCTGGGGGGCCTGAGCTGGTCTGGCTGGTGTCCCACCGAAAGGCGGTAATCAGAATAGCCAAAGAGCAGGGATGTACACATACGCATGAGCCTCATCTTGTGGTTCTGTTTTTTGAGACTGGGTCTTGCTGCACAGCCCAGGCTGGCCCAGAACGCTCAGCAATTCTCTACCCTTCGCTTCCTGAATGCTGGGATTGCAGGTACGCACTGCCATGCAGGGCCACGACATAGGATTCTTTTGCTTTCCAAACTGCACCCCCACGACCATTCTGTTTTTCACTTTCAGTGCAGAGTCCACTAAATTATGGCAACATTCAATTCTGTTACAAACCAGGCTCTGTGCTAGCTAACTCTGCCCCACTACAGCTAAGGTCAGTGTGCTGAGTATAATCAAGACAGGCTAGCTGGGTACAGGGACACAGGCTGTGGAATCTCAGGACTTAGGAGGCTGAAGCAAAGGGAAAGACGGACATTACTGCTCTCCACTCAGAGCCCAGTGCACCCGACTCCAAACCCTCCTCTGCCTCCCTGACTTCCTCCTCATGGCGCCCTCCAGGTCCCAGCGTGGGGCATGGCCCTGGATCAAGGGCTTCTCCTGGCTGGCCCTATGGCACCCTGCCTGATGCCACCATTGCCGCTCTCTATAGGAGGCATCACCCAACACAGCTACTGCTGTGTGTGTGATTTCCAACTGTCCCCAAACAAGGGGGGAGCCCAGAAAAGACAGACCTCCTAGTAGCACTGTCCCCACTGCACCCTCAGCCCTATGCCAGGATGGGCACGTGGACAGAGCTCCCCATGCGTGGGGCTCGAGTGAGCTGCCCACAGCTGTGTCTCGTCACAGTGGGGTCCGTGGTGAGGTGCTCCAAGGACCCTCCCAACTGAATGGCCCTACATGCCAGCCAGCAGGGGCCTTTTTGCCCCCTACCTTGGCTTCCCCCAGAGCCCCTGCAAAGCCTGAAGTCCTGGGTGGCATCTGGTAAGTCACCAGCAGGGGACAAAAGCAAGCTCAGCTCTCCCTCAGCCCTGGGAGGCCTGGACAGCCTTACCTGCCACCAGGTGGGCCCGGCTGCGTGAGCACAGAATGGCATTGAACTTGGACTCATCTGTTCCCAGGCGGTTCTCCCCGGCCGCATACAGCTCCTGCAGGAGGAGGAAGGCGCACATGCAGTGTCAGCCTCGTCCCAGGCCTAAGTCACCCAGAAGAGGCAGGGCCACACAGAAAGATAGGAACCAGCACCCTGGCTGTGGGAGCCAGAAGTCAACAACCCACATCCCCTCCCAGGGAAGCAAGGGGAATTCTGAGGCTGGGACCTCAGACCAGAAGAACCAAGGCCAACTCAGGGTGCTGTGGGAAAGGAGTGGGCACGGAGCTGAGGGGCCAGGGCCAAGCACCGGAGGCGAGCACTTAGCAGTGGGAACGTGCGAGACAGCAAATGCTCCAGCAGCTGACAAACCATGCTGTAGACATGCGACTTCCCGTGATCTGCCCTTTTTCACTACCTAGTCCACGGCCAGGTGTGCCCAGAGGCACAATCTGCACTTGCCTGTTAAACTTCTGAAGGCTTGAGCCTCAAATAATTTGCCAACTTGCAACCCTGCCTCGCTGGCCACTAAAAGGCCTTCAAGGTCTCGGGCAGCAGTTCTGGACTCAAGAGCTGGACCCACTGCACTCACAAGCTCAGATTGTGCAGGTTAAGGTGAGGGTAATGTAGATCGGGGACAGCGGGAGATCTGTCCTCCATGAAGGGCGGGGAGGTACCCAGCTCCATCCCACCAGCACACTGGGAGCTGCACAGTGCTCTAGGGAACCGCTTAGCTGCCTGGACTCCCCCCTTGGTTCGCAACCATAAGGAGGACAGCAAGAGGTCAAAGGCTCCGCACCAAGGTGACAGCTGGCTCACAGGCTCCCACCCTCCAAAGCTTAGCAGGTGTAGGACAGTTCAGCAGTAGGCAAACAGAATAGTATTGCACCTGGACACGGGAGAGCCCCTTCACATGAGACCCACACCCACTGCTGTAGCTTATCAACTGCAGCCATTGTTTATCTTCCTCCCTCGCAAGGAGGGGAAAGTGGAATCCAGGTATGTGACTGAGCTGTGGTCCCAGCCAATGAGCAGCAGGACAGCACGCAGAAGCCGTGCCACATCCGCTGTTCCTCTGACCCCAGGGCACCTCCTCCTTCGAAGCAGGAGGGTGGGGGCCACCCTGGTTCAGGAAGCCCGGTGCAGTGCCTGCCCACCCACTCACCTGGACGTCTCTCTGGACGAGGGACATGTCCACATTTGTGCTTTCGTCTCGGTTTCCCTGAAAGGAAGCAGGGTGCAGGGTTGAGCCCACGCCCTGGAGGGACGCAGCACGCCATCCCCGTTCTCCCCCTCTCCTCCCTGCGCCGCCCCCTGGCCCCGTGGACTCCAATCTCCTGCTGCGGGGAAGGCACCTGAGAGAGAGAGATGAGGAGCCGCTGGAAGTGCCCTGACGTGTCGCTGCGAATGGCCTCCTCCAGGGTCTTTTTGTGCTCTGCAAGGGAGGCACAAGAGGGTCACCCTGTTGCTGCAGGCCCGTCTGCTCCTGAGCAGCAGCAGAAGAAAGGCCTGGGGTCCACAGCTAGAGGAGATATGTGGCCCATTGGTCCTTCCAGGGACACACACGCCTGGGACCAGGGGACTGCAACGGCTGTCGTGGGTTGGCAGGTCACACGCAAGGTCCTCCCGGCCGACCCCACTTTTATTACCCACTCAGGTAAACGGCAGGCAAGGCAGGGCCTCGGTGCAACCAGCAGGCTGGGAGTGGCAGGAAGTGGGTCACGGGGGGGGGGGTAGAGGACACAGGGCGCAGAGGGCGCAGCCAAGACCGTGGGGGCGGGGCCCACACCTGCTTTGTAGGCCCGGCTCAGCTCCCGGATGTGCTCGTTGCTGCGGGAAGCCAGGATCTCGATGAGGCAGGCTTCATCTGTGCCAGCGCCCTGCAGGGGCAAAAACACAACCGACCACGTGCTGCAACGATGCCCGGGAGAGATGAGGCAACGGGGCTGATAAGGAGACACAGCCACTGCACTGCCAGTGCTATCACCAGAGTGACTACCCCTGGGAAGCCCTGTGACAGTGTTCCCCACAGACTAGGAAACCATGACTCAGAGGCACAGCCACTGCCCGGGTGGGGTTGATGTATTCCAAGTTCAGCCCTCAGATGAGATGACAAACAGCTGGGAAGATGAGCTGACAGAGACGTCAGAATGGCCATATGGAAATACTCTAGTCCCCAGTGGACTGTGGGTATGGGGAGACCTCTAGGACAGGACAGCAAGAGTGAGGACAGAGGAATTACCAGGCTGGACACAGCAAAAAGGCAGAGGACAGGGGTCTGAATCTTGGCTCCAGGGCTTACTTGCTGTGTGGCCTGGGGTAAGTTACTTAGCCTCTCTGTGCCTTGGGCTTCTGGTCCATAAAATAGGAGTGGTCCTTGCAAGCGTCATGAGGATTAAGTGAGCGTGGAGAGCACTTTGTTCGGGTCAGGAAGGAGGCATGGCATGTGTCAGCTGTGTTTATGACTTCCGCTGCCCAAAAGCTACCCTCAGATTCCTCAGTATTTACAAAAGGTGTATGTGCCGGCCTCCTTATCCAGGGTCCCAACACACCTGGGGGCACCACTGACCCCTGCTCCCCTCAGGAAGCTGATGGAGGTGGCACCGGGCAGAGACTATGCCAGCTCTGCACAGGACCCTAAGGACCTGATAAGGTCCTGGTCACAAACAACCTCATGAGGAGCCAGCAGGGAGGCGCAGTGCCATAGGAGCCGCCCACTGGGACTCTGGAGAAGGGACAGCTGGGCCTGCTGTGGCTGGGTCCCCCGCGGGGCAAGCATGGGGAAAGCATGGGGAAATCCCTTCCTATAGCACAAGGACCCCGTGCAGAAGCACACAGAGCAGCAGCAGCAGCAGCATGATCCCACAGCACCTGGCTTCCTCCCGGCTGTGCATGCGCGGACACGCACAGACACGCACGCACCTTAATGGCCTCCTTTATCTCAGACACGTCGAACAGGACTGGGGTCTTCATCAGGGCCAGGATGGCCTTCTCAAAGTTCCCTGACAGCTCGGATTTCAGGTCTTTGATCAAATCCTGAGTAGACACAAAAACCAACAGAGACTGCACAGAGGGGACCAACAAGAACAGGCTCCACTGTTGAGCAGCAACAGCAGCAACATGGGCTTCACTCTAGCCAGGGAGAGGCCCGAGCTCAGGGGGACTCTTCAGAGCCTGCACCAGTGGGGGGCCGGGGTGCATGGCGCTGAGGCTGGCCAGGCGCTGAATATAGCACTCGCCGGCTCCACACTTGCCTAGTGTCCACCCAGGACTCAGATCCCAGCTTCCCTGTGTTTATTCTGATCCAAAAGCCTTTTCCTCCAAAGTACGCAGAGAATCAAAACCTCCAGATGCAACATAGAAAGGCAGGGAAACTGAGGCCAGCAGAGGGAAAAATACAACCCTGGTCTCAAGATATGTGGCATGGCCAGGGCTGAAATCCCCAACTCTGGGCACCTGTACCAACTTCAGTCCCCAGTGAACCCAGGGACGGTTCCCTTGGGGCATCCTTCACTTCAGATGGGCGCCACCAGGCAGTAGCAGCAGGAAGTGCCTAGGGCAGCTTAGCAGCCCTCCAAGTTCCAGGCCCACCCAGCTCTCTGTCCTCCTGCAGCACACGCCTCACCTTGCCATAGGCTGTCTTGAAGGACAGGCTGATCTGCTGCCGCTGCTTGTTGGAGCGGCTCCCCAGGCAGTCGATGATGGCCTGTTCGTTCGTCCCTGGGGAGGAGGAGGGGGAGCCACAGGGCCGAGGGTCACCGGGTGCTCTGTGCCTTTGCAACGCCCTGGCACGCAGCCTCCGATTCTCCCAGGTGACCCCCACCACATTCAAAGTCATGTCCTCTTCTATCACCTCCCCCAGCCCCCAGCGTCCATGTGAAACTGCACAGGAAATTAGAGTGGGAGAAACACCAACCACCCAGGGTTTCTCACCAAAGCCCTTCATGGCCTTCCGCAGGACCTCAGCATCTCGCAAGGGGTCAAAGCCAGAAGCGTCCGTGATGGTACCTCGGTTTCCAAACTGTAGACAGTCATAGGTAAGAAGATCCGCACAAAGGGGCCAGGGAGTTAGCTCAGTAGAATAAGTGCTTGTCTGGCAAGCACAACGGTCTGAGTTCAATCCCCGGTTCAGCAAAAAAAAAAAAAAAAAAAAAAAAAGATCCGCACATACGACTTCCCTCAGCCCACTCCACCCCCAGACTCTGAGACAAGAGCTGGGTGTGTAAAGGGTGCAGGAATCGAGAGGCTCCTCATGGGCTCCCTCAGCCCCAGGGCAGGGGGACCCAGGAGCAAAGGATGCCACAATAAACCGAGAAGTAAAAGCTGCAGGGCTGTGCCTCCTTACTGCCCATAGCCTTGCTGGCAGGGGACACTGGGCCAAGAGGCTCCAGGCACTGGGCTCAGGTTTGGACCAGCACTCACCGTGGCTGGGGGAACGGCGGGGGTGACGGTCCCGGACCCTGAGTATCCTGGATAGCTTGGCATCGGCTGCTGACCCGGAGGTGGCACTGGTTGCTGCCCTGGGGGTGGCACTGGCGGCTGCCCAGGGTAAGTCATTGGTGGCTGCCCAGGGGGTGGCACTGGTGCCCCTGGGTAGGGTGGATAGGAGGGCATCCCAGAGGGTAGGTTTCCCCCAGGGGGTGGGTACATTCCAAACGGAGGAATAGGCTGCTGGGAAGGAGGGGGCTGCCCAAAGCCACCAGGGGGGACTGGAGGGTAACCACCCCCAGGGGCTCCGGGATACAGGTTGGCTCCTCCAAATGTCCCCGACATGTTGGCCGCCTGCAGGGACACAAGACAGAGCCTGAGGCTCACCACAGGCCAGCTGTGCTTTGCCCTCTGCCCTCCCCACTCCAGAACTCAGTGCCTCCACAGAGTGCCAAGCGCCCCACACTGTAGCCAACACGGCCTCACGAGGTGTAGCCAGCTGGGACTTGGCCCGGGCTCCTCTGTACCCACACCAGGCACCCCCACCCTATCTGCAGAGCATGCAGCCTTTCGCCTCCGAAGGCTACTCCTTCCTTCCCGGGCCCATGGATGAAAACAGAGTTTACAGCCCTCGAAGATACAGTGGGCTTGGTGAGACCCTATCGTATCACTCTCCTACCAGCACACTTAGGTCATGAGGCTTGGGTGGACTCATGCCCATCCAGAATGAGGATCCCACGCCTGAGCAGGTACCTGGGCTCCCCTGGGCTCCCCTGCTGCCCAGAGCACTCTAGGTCAATGGCACCACAGGGTGTGGCAGCCCTAGGCATCCAGGTAGCACCTCCTCCTCTTCTTCAGACCTTTGCTGACCCTTACCTTAAAACCCTCACATCACCCCACCGACCCGACTCAACCTCTCACCAGCTCTTGTTCCTGCGGTGCCCCTAGTCTCAGCACCACCTCAAGCGAGCTGACTCTGTCGCTGTTCCTTGCCAGTCAGCCAGGGCTGAGACTCCTGTTTATTCTACTCACAAATCCCCAGAGCCTAGAACTGGGCCTGGCACCAATTTGGGTGTGTACTGGTTGCACTGTTTCCAATGAACACACATTTGTGTTTTCTGATTACAAATTATGTAACTTTTAAAGCAAAACAACAAATAAAAGTTGGGGACAAATCTGCCCAAACTACTGCATATTCCCACCCCCAGGACCAAACCAGAACAGCCCCCCTTCTGTGGACACACAACACAGCACACACAGGTACATCCACAGCGCACGTGCATGCACACACACACACTCACAGTGTGCACACACGCATGTTGATGCACCTTCCTTAGGCTTACAATGTGCCCACAAGGTGCTCAATTCATTTCCAGGAAGACCCGCCCCACTGAGCACCCCAAAGCCATAAGGACCCCGGGAGGCCATGCTTTCAGTGCACTCCTACCCCTCAATTTATGGAAGGGAGAGCTGAGGTCCAGAGAGGGCACTGGGCAGCTGGCAGAGGCTTGGTAAAGACGCCCCTGTTCCACGAGGGAGAGGGCACACTTCACGCTCGCAGTCACTGCCAGGCTCAGGTCCCCGGTGGCGGTGTAGCTGTGCCCCAGGCAGAAGGACAGACTCACCATTCCTGAGAGGTAGTCTTGGTTGTACTGCCCTGCGTAGTTGGCCACGTTATCCAGCCCGATAGGGGGCCCACCAGCTGGGGGGTAGGCAGCACCCCCCCAGGCACCACCACCTGAAAGGAACACCAAGTGCTCAGCCCCGTCTGTCCCCTACCCAAGGAGGTAGGTGGAGGAGCTCAGGAAAGGTAGCACTGCAGAGTCTCAGGCCAGTGCTACAGAGGACAGAAAGGTCAGGTGGACAGCTAGGGCAAGAGGCCTGTCCCTCGTTCCCTACTGCACACTCAGTGCGGAGCAGGAGGATAGACACAAGACAAGACGGCCACTCTTGGACTCTGTGCTGAGTTCAACATAGTGGCAAGCTCCGGGGGCCCAAGGATTCATGAAGCCGCAAAGACAGAAGGCACGGTCCATCCAGTATAGCTCTTCCAAGGGATGAATCAGTAACTGGAAGGGAGAGGCAGGATGACAGGCTAGAGGGACCCTGGCCTGCATCAGGGAAAACAGACTCTAGCCATTGTCCATAAGGAGACAGCAGTGACAAGCGCAGCTCTGGACCAGCAAGCCGGTCATGCCCCAGGGCTCAGCTACTCAGGCTTGTGTCCTACAGAGTGAGCAAGGCCCGGGGGAGCCTGGCCCAGTGCTCAACCAGTGGTCACAGAGAACCTTGGCCACTGAGACCCACAGTGTGGCAGCTGGCACCATGGAGGGCTGAGGATGCCCATAGCGCTGCCCTTCCTGAGTCGCCTGCCTGTCCGCGCTTGCTGCTGGGGGTGGGCAGCAGCGCTGGCAAAACGGACAGGGCACAGAATGGAGCGAGGTCGGTGCTGACCAGTCAGCTACCAGTCAGCTACCAGTGTGGCCCTGTGACAGGGCGGCTCGGCCCCTGCCTGCTGAAGGGGAGGAAGAGCAGGTCCAGGGGCCCCAAGACTTCACTCCCCAAAGTGAATGAATGCCAGGGGCCCCCGGGGTGAGGGACAACTCAGACACCCTTAGGGAGACCTCAAAATGCTCTTTGTCTTCCTTCAACCTCCTACTTCTTTCCTGAAAACAGGACAAAGGCCGCCTGAGGGTCAAGACCAACTTGACTGCCAGCCAGGCCAGTTAGCGCGACAGTGCATCCAGGCACCTAGACCACGGCAATGGCAACGCTTTGGAGTACACCATGCCTGAGGACTTACCTATCTACCTCTGGTATCCAGGACGACCCAAAAGGAGACTCCAAAATTCATTTTGCAAAGGAGAAGACCAAGGATTTGTTTGTGGTCACTAACAAGGCAGCATGACCCAGGCCACCCAAATCAGCTCAAAGCCAGGCCCCTCAGCGGTTCCCAGGGGTCTCTCCTCTCAGGAGGCAGTGCCTGGGGACTATGGGGAACAGCTGACTCCCCGACCTCTCACTCAGGACCACCCAAGCCCTCTTACCTGGTGCAGGAGGAGGGTAGCCACCAGGGGGTGGGGGGTAGCCTGGGTAGCTCATGGTCTGACCTGAAAGGGAAGCGACAGGGCATTGAGACCTTGCCCAGGGTACTCCCACCCAGGCCTGCCAGCACTGGACTCTGAGGAGAACAAGGCCACAGGTGCCCAGGCAGGGGCAGCTGCACACGTCCCCTTGGTGCAATGCAGTTTGCATGCTGCCTGCTGCCTGCTCCTGCTCCCTCCTCCGGTTCCCTGCTCCCTGCTCCCTGCTCCTCCTCCCTCCTCCTCCTGCTCCCTGCTCCTCTTCCCTTCTCCCTCCTCCTGCTCCCTCCTCCCTGCTCCTGCCCCTGGATCCCTGCAAGACGTTCCCCAGGCAGGATGTCTGGACCAGGCCCTGCATGTACCACGCTTGGCGGAATTCGCCAGCCTCACACCAGAGCCTGAGAGCTCCCAGCAATGCAACACTTCTCTGCCCTCAAGAGGGGCTGACTTGAGTCATTTGCAGGCACACGGAGGCACCCTGTGACCATGTTAAGTGAAATAAATCAGAAGCAGAGGCTTAAACATCATATGGTTTGTCTTACAAATGAGACCCGACGAATAAATATATCAAAGAACACGATACAAGTTAGTCAATAGCAAACGGGGAGAGAGACCTTTTTACAACTGGGAAGGAGACTAAGGTGTGCGGTTGGAAGAGAACACAGCTGTGTCCTGCCTGGCCCAGCATCGCCCGGATTAGATACGCAGGTACAATACGCTCTACGTGCTGCAAACACAGGCCAATCACAACCCAGCGGGCGCGGCCTGCGCATGCGTGGCATCTGCTCTTGGCGCTCGGACTCCAGACCGCACAGGGCCTCGGGCCGCAAGTCCACTTGCCTTCTCTCCCTGTGCCCAAGGTATGCACAGGTACCCCATCTTGGGGTGACCAGGCTGCCCTTTTCACTCTCTTGTTCTCCAGGCGAAGGGGCCTGGCCCACGAGAACTGAAGCTCAGAGAGTAAGTGATTTCGTGTCCATCAGTCAAGGAGGCAGAGGCCTTGACCCAGGGCACAAGAGGGACAGCTGGTCCTAAGTCTCTCCAGATACAGATCCGCAGCAATGGCCAGGGCCCATTAAACTGCTCAGGAGGGGACCAGACCAGTGGTGACCCTGCCACTCAAGAAACAGGGGCCACCTGCCTGCTCTTCCTGGGCAGCCACCTGGGCGCCCCACACCCAACGCAGCTGCTGCTCCTCATGCAAACCTGTCATCTGATATCACACAGGTCAGTTGCCGGCTCCACCCCCAGAGCATCTGGGACAGAACCAGAATTTGCAACAAGACCCCAAGTGAATCTCCTGAGCCCGGGCCATGCCAGACCCTGTCCACACACCAGACTCGCCCTCCTGCCACCTTGAAGGACTGCCCGGGGCCAGCAAGCCTCAGAAAGGGCCTCCCTGGTGGGGTCACTGGTGCCCCAGGTGTGCTGGTGCTCAGCCCCAGAGGCCATTTGTTCTGGACAGTAGGTCCAACAGTGAGCCCAGCCAGTGACCTCGGAGAGAGTGGGCGTGGTCAGATGGGGCACAGTGCTGTCTTTCAGTGCTAAGCACAGGTGGCTGAGGTCCCAGAGGCGCTGCCCTGGGAAACGGTGGCTCACCCTCCTGGGGTCAGGTGAGCCTTCAGTCAGATCCCCTTCCACACACCAAACAAATTTCAGCCAGACCGAGACTTAAATGTAAGATGACCCCACATCCCAAGAGCATAAAATAAAGCTGTCGATAAGAAAGACGTAAGGGGCCGGGGAGATGGCTCAGTGGAATAAGCGCTTCCCTGGCAAGCACAAAGGCCTGAGTTCAATCCCTGGTCCCGCAAAAAAAAAAAAAAAAAAAAAGACATAAGGAAAACAATAAGCACAAATGACAAACTTAGGGGAAAAATTTTCCAAAAAGCCTAGCTACTCAGGAGGCTGAGGCAGGAGGGGCACCTGAGCCCAAGGTTCAAGGTTTGCCTGGGCAATACGGATTCCATCTGGAAAACGAAAGAAGAAAAGTGAAAGACCAACAGCCCCAACACAAACTGCCAAAGGATTTGAACAACTTTTAAAAGCCCCAATTTAATCAAGGTGTGATGGCACACACCTGTGATCTCATCCCCAGAGGCTGAGGCAGGAGGATCATGCCAAGAGTGAAGCCACCCTGGGCTACAAAGTGTAGTTCAGGGTCAGCCTAAAGTGTACAGTGGGACCTTGTCTCAAAAAACAAACAGCAAGGCCCATTTGGGCTGGGCATTTCCGCACACTTGCAGCTGCCCCCTCCGGCCTGCACAACCACACAGCTGGTGCTCTTTCAAGATGAAAATAACTCACACAGGCCCCATTCAGCCTGGCAGCCAGGGGAGCAGCCGCATAGAGCCTGCATTCCTAGAAGGGCTCTGGGGAATTTTCTGGCCTCTGGACGAGCGCTGTTCTGAGAGTCCGCAGGGTCCCCGGCAGCCCCCAGCCCCATTTCCAGTCCCGCTCTCTTCCCAAAGCACAACCGTCTTTCCACTGTTTTGAAAGCACCGGGGTCTATTCCAGGCCTGCTCCCACCTCTTTTCTCCAGCCCTTTCCAATGCCCGGAGCAGGACCACGCCCTCCCTGGGCTCTGCGGTCCCTCCCCGTGGAGGCAGGGTAGGGGAGAGCGAGGAGCCCTGGCCAGATGCTGTGATCCTCACAGCCACCAGATTAAGCAGCTTCCTCGGGCTCCGACTTGTGGGCTGGGTGGGCCCAGTGCTTGAGTATGTATCTAAGGGCCACAGCAGGACTGTCCTGATCAAATGCCACAACCCAGCCCTCAGGAGGGTGGTAACGTTCATCTCTCTCACGAGAGGCGGGACACTGGCAAGGAGCCTGGGGTGACCCCAGGGCCATCTCCTTGGCAGAGGGGACCCAGCCCAGGCTCTAGAAACCCAGGTTCCCTCTCTGGGACCACGCATCTACCAGGAGCTGTGCACAGACTTCCCCTCCCAGTTCTACCCAGCCCTCACCCTCAAAAGAACAGCTGGTAACAAAAACCAGCTGATCTTACCACTCTCCAGAAGTGGTGTGTGTGTGGGTGTGTGGGTGTGTGTGTGCGCACGCGCGCGCGCACAGATTCACACTACACAGCTCAGATTCCTAGTGATCCTCCTGATTTCTGCCTCCCAAGTGGGATTACAGCACAGACTCCATTGCCATGGGGCACAGCATGCGGTGCCAGGGATCGAACCCTGGCCCCTGCACTTACCTAAGCAAGCACTTAGTCTGCTCAGCTATCTCGCTTGCCCTTGCACTGTTTTTGTAAAGGAAAGGTTTAATTTGTCTCAAGTCTTCTGCATTCTTCCCCCCCACCCCCCACTCCCACCTCCGGAACTGGGGATTGAACTCAGGCCCTTGCGCTTGCCAGGGAAACCCTTATTCTACTGAACCATCTCCCCGGCCCCAGCATTCTTACATATTTTAATTTCCACCCTGACCAAGGCAGTCATTTTCTTCTTCTGATTTTTTTTCCCCGAGACAGAGGCTCATCTAGAACTTATTATGCAGCTCAAGCTGCCCTTGAGCTCCTGATCCATCCATCCTTCCTGCCTCAGCCTCCCAAGTGCTTGGATTACAGGAGTGCATCCCCCCAGGTCTCTTACTCTGTCCTTTAGTGAAGAAAAAAGGTGGGAGGGTAGCAGGGCAGGAGGTGATTCGCACTGCTGCTGTGATTCAACAGCCAGGACATCACGCCCTTGATCTTCTGTGCTGGCTTCTGTTCATGGCGCCTGGACACAGGGAGTCTGGCGCAGTCCCCCTGCTCCCTGCTCTCAGGCAGCTGGCTCCCAGGAAGCTCCAGTTATGAGCACCTATCTCTCGGGAGCCTCCGCCCTCCAGTCCTGAGCCTCAGCACAAACACGGCCTTCTTTCCTCCCTGGGACTCTTTCTGGCAGATGTGGCCTCCCCAACTGAACAGGAGGCTCCCTAAACTCTAGACTGCTGGCCCCCACCGGAAGCTGAGAAGCTCAGAACCCACAGGCCTGGGGGTGCTGAAAGCAGCGCGCGGCAATCACAGCTCAGGGATGCTGAGGCTGGAGCTCGGGCACCCTGCTGCGGCCCTGCTGAACCCCAGGGCCCAGTCCCACCGAGTCCCCCACCCCCACCTGGGATTCCAGGAATGTGAGACCAGACACAAACACGCAGGCACCAGCCCTGAGTCCCCAGGGATCCTGATATCATGGTTCTGTGCTCCATACTTGGGAAAAATGTTCTCCCAGTCCTTGGACGCTCTGTCTCTCAGGTCCCCAGAGGGCTATGCTCTACGGCTATGCACGTGGTATCCTGGTAAATCTCACAGATGACACAAGGACACCAGCCAGAGTGCCCAAACACAGGAATCTAGAAACTGGGTGTGGGGACAGGAGTGATGGCCATCCCAGCACAATGGGGAGCCTGGCACTTCCCCACCCAACAGTGGGAGGGGAGACCCAGGCCTCCAGTCAGCAGCAGGACTCCCCAATGCCCAGCTGAGGTCCTGCCTGACCTCCAGGGACAGAAGTGGCCAATGCGGAGGGCCAAGAGGGGGTCGCCCAGGGACAGAGAGCACCAGGAGCTGAGGCTGAGAGTCAGAGGCCCCCCTGCACTCAGCAGCAAATCCAGCAGGCTGGGCTGGGAGGGGAGATCCTGGGATGAGCCTCCCTGGGGGCTGGAATATATGGCTGACCATCAGTTCTTAATATTAAATCTTTACTCTGCTTTGACCACAAAGCTTGGTCTACTATTCAAATATGCAGCTGTGACAATGCTTGTATTCTTTTTAAAAGAGAAGATCCAGTGTGGGGATGCACGCATATGATCCTGGCCAGTCGGGGGGCTGAGGCAAGAGGGTCCCTTGAGTTCTGGAAGACAGGGTCACCTGCAAAATAGTAAGACCCGTCTCAAAAACCAAAATAAAAAGATAAGCCACAGCACGGTAGGACATGTGCACAAGACACCCATCACATAGAGACTTCGCCAAAACAAACAACTCTTAAACCTCAACAAGAAAACAAACCACACATTTTTTTTTTAAATGGGAAAATGGTCTACAC